AGTCCCAGCTACTTGGGAGGCGGAGGCAGGAGAATCGCTTGAGCCCAGGAGTTGGAGGTTGCTGTGAGCTGTGATGCCATGGCACTCTACCCAAGAGACAGTTTGAGGCTCTGTCTCAAAAAAAAAACAAAAACAGGACTCCCAAAAAGAAAACAACAGAGGAGTAAGAAAGGAAAAATCATCTAAGAAATACAACAAAAGCAAAAGAAAACCAAAAATTGAGCTTCCAACAGCCAGCAAAATGAATAAACTCCTCAGTCCCCGTGGTGTGCCACCCTGAGATTGCAGGATCCAGAGACAGAGGAAAGATCTTAGAAGCTTCCAGAGAGAAGAAACAGCTTACCAACAAAGGGTTACGGGTCAAATAGCTGCAGATTTCTCATCTGCAATCCAAGAAGGTAAAAGACAACACAGCAATGCCTTTAAAATTCTAGAAAAAGGGCAGCACCTGTGGCTCAAAAGAGTAGGGCACTGGCCCCATGTGCTGGAGGTTGCGGGTTCAAACCCAGCCCTGGCCAAAAACTGCAAAAAAAACAAAAAACTGCAAAAAAAAAAACAAACCACACACACACAAAAAAAAAAAACACTGGAGAAAACAAACTTAAAAGTATGAGCCAAATGCAGTGTATAAATCTGTTGTCCCAGCTACAGGCTGTGCTCTTGATCTGGGGCAACAGATCAAGACCCCATCTCTACAAAAAATTAAAAAAATAACTGGTGGCCAAGCGAGGTAGCTCATGTCTATAGTCCTAGCACTCTGGAGGCAGATGGATTGCTGAGCCCAGGAGTTTGAGACCAGCCTGAGCAAAAGCAAGAATCCATCACTGCTTAAAACAGTAAAACTGAGGCAAGAGGCTCGGCACCTATGTCTCCAGTGGCTAAGGTGCCAGCTACATACACCTAAGGTGGCAGGTTCAAATCCAGCCCGGGCCCACCAAACAACAATGACGGCCGCAACCAAAAAATAGCTGGGCGTTATGGCGGGCGCCTGTAGTCCTAGCTACTTGGGAGGCTGAGGCAGGAGACTCGCTTGAGCCCAGGAGTTGGAGGTTGCTGTGAGCTGTGA